AGCACCACATCGGGCTCTCTCCCCAGTGGGGAGTCTGCTTCTCCCTCTCTATCTGCCCCTCCCCACCTGCTCATGCTCTCTCTCACTCTCTCTCTCTCTCTCAAATAAATAAAATCTTCAAAAAAATGACATTTATAGTAAACCTAGAGTAACAGAAAATGCTAAGTAAAAAACTCACATACAATATTAATATGTAATATGCACACTAAAGAGAAGTCATGAGATTATCTAAATGTTCAGTGCATATCTCAATATCAATTTTCAATATAAATTATGTTGAAAATATAACATTATATTTTCAATGATAATTCAGTATATAGTTTAGCCAGATTGCTTTCCCAAACATCTGTCACTGAGCAAAATGGTACTTCAAAAGGAAGGCTAAGAAATGGGTGTGGCGAGAGATTCTTCAGGAATGAGGGATACTGGTATGTTAAGGCATTTCATGGAGAGAATTTATGGTGAGCAGCTAGTTGCAATCATAAAGATTCTGTTCTTAGGGATATGAGAAATAGGAGACAAGTACCAAAAATGGGGGAGGGGCAAGAAAGAAACAACTTAGTACTTTGGTAAGTTGCTTAGGGTAAATGATGCTTTTCCCTAATCTCCAAGCTATATGATTGCCTTTCCTATCTTGTCAAGACTCCCCTATCAATACCACCTCTTCTAGTTCTGTCTGGGAGAAGGAAAATAAAGGAAAAGGCCAGGCAATAAACTAGTTTCACCTTATTTCATGTGGTATATACGACCAAAAGAGGCTTGATCTTTTATCTGTTTTGCCTGGGTATGTGTGTGAATTAGCAAAAAATGATGTGTGATTTTTGAAAGATGTAAAGATTATAGCATTATAACTGATCGTAATCCTATTTACAAGAAAGCATGTGATTGTTGGGGAGTATAAAATAAAGGAAAAGAATACTTTTAAATACTCTTTAAAATTACCAGGATTCAAAGGGTGCCTGGGTGGCTCAGTCGTTAAGTGTCTGCCTTCGGCTCAGGTCATGATTCCAGCGTCCTGGGGTCAAGCCCTGCATCAGCCTCCTTGCTCAGTGGGAAGCCTGTTTCTCCCTCTCCCTCTGCCTGCCCCTCTGCCTGCCACTCTGCCTGCTTGTGCCCTCTATCTCCATCATATAAATAAATAAAATCTTAAAAAAAAATTCCAGCTCCACTGCTAAACTTGTAAGTCTGTGGAGGATAAGTTAAACTTTGATTGACTGATTGAATCATTCACTCATTCATTCATGTATTTAATTATTATTCAGTAAACTGGTACCATAAGTAAGGCACACAGCTAAATGTTGAGGATATAGCAGGACACATGATTGCTATGGAAGATAGAAAATTTTACTAAGTACTAGTAACAAAGTGAAATAGTACTAGAGGAGTAAAGAGTATACACATCTGATCTAATCTAAAAGGGTTAAGGAAGTCTTCCTGAGTTAAGTAACATTAAGGTTAGACCTGAATCTGAATCCTAAATAGAAGTAGCTAAAGTGGAGGGGGGAGGAGTATTCTAGATAGGAGTAATAGCACTGAACAAAGGCTCACAAGTCAGTATTGCATCTACATATAATATAGATGAAGAGATTATATAATTGTTAACTATGGAGGCTGCTGTTATAGATGAGTCATAAAAGAAGCATAGCATCAAGGGAAAGTAAAATGGATCAATAATCACAAGGGAAAGTAGGATTATTTATTAATTTAAAATACTGACTATATGCCAGGCACTTCAGATGTATCAATGAAGAAAGGAAATAAAAGTCCTTGCCCTGATGAAGCTTATATTCTAATACAGGGCAAGAGATAACAGCAGACATAATGCATATTATATAGTAAATCAGCAGAGGATCAGTACAATGGTTAAGCTAGATTGGAGTATAGGCGGGTGAGGGGTATATTAAATAGAGTAATTAGGGATTGCCTCAGTGAGGAGGTGATGGTGACTGGACAAAGCCTTGAGAGATGAAGGAGTACGGTTTGCAAATATTGAGAGGAAACACATTCCAGACGAGCAGAAAAGCCAGTACAAAAGCCCTAAGAAGGAATGTGACTGGTACATTCCAAGACAAAAAGAAAGTTGGTGTGGCAGACCAAACAAGCAAAGCATAAAGTAGTAGGAAAAAAGGTCAAGAGGCAATGAGGGATGGAGGCAGAACTTGCAGGATTTTGTAGGCCTGTCTGAAAATTTAGGGGAGGGTTGCTTGTTCACATCATACTGCTCTAGTATATATAAGATCAAGAACAAGAGGTAAGAGAGGAGGCTGGGAAAGATGGCAGAGTAGGGGCACCATTGTCCCATGTTTACAACTAGATTTCAATCACCTGAGTAAATAAACCTGAGAGCTATCTGAAGACAGGCAGAACAAACTCCACGACTAAATGCAGAAAAGAAGCCTCATGGAAGAATTTAGGAAGAATAGAAAATGCAGTTAGGAGCTGTCTGAAGGAAAGAGGGAATTGTGGGAGCAGAGAAGGGAAAGTAACATGGAGCCCACATGGGAAAACGAATCCCCATAATATCTGGCCTTGAAAACTGGAGGGGCTGAATTCCATGAGTTTGTATAACCAGTGAGACTTGGAGCCTGGAACTTTAGAAGTCAGTTGACTCAGCATTGGGCAAATGGGTAGAGGAATGATAGCTGGGCCCCCCACCCTTAAAAAGACAAGGGCTGGCAGAGAGGCAACATAGAAGCGACAGTTTGCACAATGGGAGGGAGATCTGTTTATACTGACTTTGGAGTGTGTTGAGGACTTCTCTGGGAATGAAGGAGTTGGTAGGTGCCATTTTCCTCCCCTCCCTGCAAACACAGAGCCATTTGTTGGAGATGGTGCTACATAGATACTTGCTGCCTAAGGTGCTAGCAATGCAACCACCCATAAGTTCTGGAACACTTGCCCAGTCCAAGGATGCTGGCTTCAGCCCCGGGTTCAGCACAAATTTTGTTAAAGCCTCCGTACTTCAGGAGATCCAGTCTAGGACTAGCAGCTCAGAACAAATCTGCTAACACCACTGTCCTGCCTCCAAGCCCTTCTGCAGTCATGTGCCCTCAGAACGAGCCTTTGTGGGTCTCACTAACATCACAGAGAGCAAGTGCAGCCCACAACAGGGAGAGATTCAGGGTAGATGTCTAGACTGAAAGGAAAAGCGACTCGGACACAATAGTAGGATGCAAGTGACACACACAGGTGAAGTATTATAACTGATTCTGATAAACAGCAGACACTGCACTGCAGGGCACTACAGTACCTCTTCTTCATAAAGCCATTACTTTCAAGAGCAGCTGATGTAGCTAACTTTCCTAACACAGAGAGGCAGACAGAGAGATAGAAAAATGAGACAGAAAAACACGTCCCAAATGAAAGAATAAGATAAAATCATAGCAAGAGATCTAAGTGAAATAGAAATAAGTAATGGGCTTGATAAAGAATTTAAAGTAATAATCACAAAGATACTGGACTTCAGAAACAGGTGGAGAACATTAGTGAGATCCTTGACAAAGAGATAAAAACTAACATATCAGAAATGAAAAACTCAATAAATGAAATTAAAAAAATAATAGGTGAAATAAATAGTAGGTTATAGGAAGCAGAGAAAGGTATCAGTGACCTGGAGGACAGAGTAATGGAAAGCAATCAAGCTGAAAAGGTGAGAGACAAACAAATACTGTATAATGAGAATAGATGTAGAGAATTCAGTGACTCCATCAAGCATAATAATATTCACATTATAGGGATCCCAGAAGAGAGAGAAAGGGAGGCAGAAATGTATTTGAAGAAATAAGAGCTGAAAAATTCCTGAATCTAGGAAGGGAAACAAAGATCCAGATTCAGGAGGCACAAAGATTCTCCCAACAAATTCACCTCAAGGAGGTCCATACCAAGACACACAGTAATTAAAATTGCAAAAAACAAAAACAGTGATAAAGAATGTTACAGTTTGCAAGGGAAAAGATGAGTGCTAAATACAAAGAAAATCTTATAAGTCTAGCAGCTCATTTTTCAGCAGAAACTTTCCAGTCCAGAAGAGAGTGGCATGATGTATTCAAAGTGCTAAAAGGGAAAAATCTGCAGCCAAAAGTACTCTATCCAGCAAGGTTATCATTCAGAATAGAAGGGGAGATAAAGAATTTCTGAGACAAACAAAAGTTAAAAGAATTCATGACCACTAAACCACTCCTATGAGAATGTTAAGGGGGACTCTGTGAATGGAAAACAAAAACCATAAGTAAAACAAACAAACAAACAAAAAAACAGAAAGCACAAATACAAAAAAAAAAGTATATCTGTAAAAATCAGTCAAGAGAAGCACAAAATAAAAGGATGTAAATTATGATACCAAATATCTCAAAGGTGGAGGGGAGAGGAGTAAAGGATGAGTTCAAAATTGAAGCAACCATCAGCTTAATATAGACTACTATAAGCAAAAGATGTTATATATAAACCTAATGGTAACACAAATAAAAAGAGTAATATATATGCAAAAAATGAAAAGTAAGGAATCCAAGTATATCACCAAAGAAAACCAGCAAACCATGAAAGAGCAAGAGAAGAAAGGTCAGAGAAAAACTGCAAAAACAACGACAAAACAAGTAACAAAATAACTATAATCAATACATATATATCAATAGTTACTTTGAATGTCACTGGACTAAATGTTCCAATCAAAAGACATATGGTATCAGAAAGGATAAAAAAACAAGACCCATCTATATGCTGCCTATAATTTCTACATGTGGAGACTGAGCCTAGCTTTGCATGAGAAAAGAAATAAAGGGCATTGCTATGCAAATGTATGGAGAGTCCCGTTTAAACAGGAGGGCTAAATCTGCATGCATTTCTTCTTCAATTTTCATTTGTTTGGAAGCATGGGAAAAACAATGTCCCCAGACAGAAGGATTTTGAAGGTTTGTATGCTGGTCTTTGAAAAAATAAATTTGAAGAAGGCAAGAGAGTTTACAGTCATGGGGAAAGGCATACTCTGGGGTCAAGGACAGGGAAGAAATACATTTTTTCTTTTTTAAGCTGAGAGTTAGTTTCATAGTTTAAGTAAAATATTAAATGATGTGGCACAAAAAATATTAAGTTCTATAAGTGCCTGATCATCACTCAAAATTTAGTCTGTGATAATTTAGTCTTTTAAAAGAACTTTCCAAGTTAAAGTCATTTTTCTTTTTTTTCCTAAACAAAATAACTTCTCAGAGTATTTCTCTAGATTCCACCTACAAGTGCTCATTAGCCCTTGATGCTCTCTGGGGTGAATTTTTTTGGTTTGGCCAACGGTTCCTCAGCTGCCGACACTTTCTTGTTCCTTTCATCTAAGTAGAAACTTTGAAAGGTACTTAGTTTTTGAAACAAGATAGAATTCTTTCAAACTTGTATGCTAAGACACTTTAGAACCTGAATTTGACTTCACAGCATGGTTATACAAAAAATAAAAGATCAAGTGCTTACAAGGTTAAATTTCAGGAAAGCTCTCTTGGATGCAAGACAAAGGCGGGGTATAAAATGAAAACAAAAGTAGCCTGAGTTAAAGAGGTCATTTGAATTTACTCTCCACTCAAGACTGCTCCTCTCTGCACGCTGAAACAGGTTGGTTTTTTCATTTTCTCATTCTAATTGGAATAAGATTGTTTTTTAAAGCCCAAAGACTTTATATACTTACCTATATAAAGGGGGTGTTGATGCACAAAAGTCTAAATGTTAACATATGCAAAAAGAGCTATTTGAAAACAGCTATACACTTTAATCTTAAAACAAAAATATGAATATAGCAAGAAGAAAACATATTATTTCTGGCATTATGTTAATACCATTACTTGCCCATAAAACTTTGTTAATGAGAAAATAGGTTGTGTTATACTATTTTTTGTTTTATTTTACAAATGCTATTTTTGTTCTTGTAATAATTATAAAGACATCAAAAATGTATGTCTGACAGAAGGATCAATTCCTGCAAATAATTTCCATTCCTGTCCTATTTACTCACATTTTTTAGTAAGATTCTTATTTAAAAATATACTTCCTTAATGTCTTATATTATTTGTGCATATTATTTCTTATCATCAGGTTCAAGATTTGTGATGAATGAGAAAGAGAAAACAAAGTTCATACTGTTAATAATTAACACATAAGAAAATGATGACCAGAATGGTCTTCCAGATTGGAACTTTTCAAATTAACTTAAGGGTAAAAACAGTCATTTTAAATTGTTGGCACCTGGTTTTTACATAATGAAAGCAGTTCTTCTATGTGGTGTATTTCCTTGAGGGCCTTCTCTGCTTTACTCATCCAAACAAGGTTAGTAAGAATAATAATATTCTTTTGGAAATGTACCATAAGTTGGCACACTGTTTTAAAAATACTATTTTCATTAATGATTCTATAAGAATATTAGAGCTTTTCCCAAGGACAAAAATAACCAAAGGGAGACAGAAAGGCTAAGGAAAAGGCAAAATAAAACTCAGCAGTAAAATAAAAATACCGAATGTCATTTTTATATACATTTTAAAACTTGTGAATTCTGGGGACACCTGGGTGGCTCGGACAGTTAAGCATCTGCCTTCAGCTCAGGTCATGATACCAGGGTCCTGGGATCCAGCCCCACATTGGGTTCCTTGCTCATCTGGGAGCCTGCTTCTCCCTCTCCCTCTGCCTGCTGCTATCCCTGCCTGTGCGCTCTCTCTCTGTCAAATAAATAAATAAAATCTTAAAAACAAAAAGCAAAGAACAACAACAACAAAAAACCATGTAAATTCTCTGTGAGCTTATTTTACTCCTATAAGGTGTTAATAACCAATATAGTAAAATAACTAATGATGAGGCAAGATGATTCCTGCCATACCATCTATATATTCTAGACTAATAGCTTTATATGTGCTTGTAAGTCCTTTAGTTTGACAAATATTTACTGAGCACCTATTGTATACCAGCCACTCTCCATGTAGACATTACAAACATAAATCCAACAGGTCATACTCTTAGGGAACTAAGAAACACATTTTTTCACATAATGGGGTCAGTTCTCTGAGAATAAACGTAGGTATGTATGTAGATATAGCTATTGGATCAGGAAAATCTTCTGGGGAGGTGACATCCAAGTTAACTGAGAAGGAACTGGCTCTTTAAGAGAAGGGCAGGAAATAGTCTATCAGATGAAGGAACAGAATGAGTAATGGTGCAGACATGTGCTGCAGCATGGTGTGTGCCAGCAAACTGCTTGCAGATGAGTACTATGACTATCTGGGGTGTAGAAAGATATAGCACAGCGTGGGGTGCATTATAGAGAGATGTAGCAGGAACCATGGGTCATTTTTATATACATTTAAAAACCTGTGAATTCTGGGACAAGTTAAGCATCTGCTTAACATTATGCAGGGAGCTGTGGGCATCATGCTAAGTATGTATCGTTAGCTTGGATTGTATCTTTCAGGTGGAGAAATGTATCTTTCAGGTGAGGAGCTTAGCAGAAGAGTGACAGATTGACATTGCAGAGACAGAGAACTCTGGTGGAAGTAAGAAAAATGATTTTGACAAAGAGGTCGTAAGAAGGAAAAAGAATAGGAGATACCAGTTGGGAAGATACTGTAATAGGCCAGGTAAGAAACAACGGCGGTCGAATGGTGCAGATGTGTCAAAGAGGGCAAATTAAAAGAGATAAATTCACAATCTATTTGTAAGGTAAAATCAGAAACTAGGGGCTGACTGAAAATTAGGGATGAATGTGACAGAAGTCAAGGACAGTGTAGGCTTAAGACTCAGATAACTGGTGGAATAATGCTCCTGAATGGTAGCATACTTTCAGCACGTGTGACAGCTTTTCAAGGGAAGCTAACTAGAGGAAACTTTGTTTTTTAAAGGCAAGCCAGTGAAATTAAGTATAAACACTGAGTTAATTTATTTAACTTATTTTAAAATAAATTCATTTTAAAATATGTTTATAAATAAAAATATATTTATTTTAGCTAAATAAAGTATTTGCTTATTTAATTCACTGCCAATATCCTACATAAGAATCACAAAGTTGTGTCTGTAAAAAATATAACATTTCTTTTTCTTTTGTTGAAATCTGACTAAATTTTCATATTTTAAAAGCTACATAAAAGTCATTACTTTGATTTAGGGTTTAATGATTAAGAAAATTCCACAGCATGTTATTTTCCAGCTCCTGCACATAGACTGGTAAAAACAAAAGATGAAGAACTAATCTTGGGGATGCCTGGGTGGCTCAGTTGTCAAGCGTCTGCCTTTGGCTCAGGTCATGACCCCAGTGTCCTGGGATCAAGCCCCATATTGGGCTCCTGCTCAGTGGGAAGCTTGCTTTTCCCTCTCCCACTCCCCCTGCTTGTGCTCCCTCTCTCACTGTGACTGTCTTTGTCAAATATATTAAATAAAATCTTTAAGAAAAAAAAAAAAAGAACTAATCAACTAATCTTGGAGCTATACTCCAATGTGGCTTCCACCAAAGAATTTCAAATTTCAAAAAGCGGCAGATTCAGCCTCATCTATGTTATAGCAAAAATCTACTCTCTAGTAAAAGAACAAAACTTACACTACCTTAAAAAGTGTTTCCTTTTAAACAATATTAAAATGAATATTCTGTATTCTTTTTGACATTTAGATTGGAGCCATGACTTTGGAACACAACCAGTCAACAGATTACTACTATGAGGAAAATGAAATGAATGGCACTCATGACTACAGTCAGTATGAAGTGATTTGTATAAAAGAGGAAGTCAGAAAATTTGCAAAAGTTTTCTTGCCCGCCTTCTTCACAATAGCTTTTATCATTGGAATTGCAGGCAATTCCATAGTGGTGGCAATTTATGCCTATTACAAGAAGCAGAGAACCAAAACAGATGTGTACATCCTGAACTTGGCAGTGGCAGATTTACTCCTTCTATTCACTCTGCCTTTTTGGGCAGTTAATGCAGTTCATGGGTGGGTTTTAGGGAGAATCATGTGCAAAGTCACTTCAGCCTTGTATACAGTCAACTTTGTCTCTGGAATGCAGTTTCTGGCTTGTATCAGCATAGACAGATACTGGGCTGTAACTAAAGCCCCACGTCAATCAGGAGTGGGGAAACCATGCTGGCTTATCTGTTTCTGTGTCTGGATGGCTGCCATCTTGCTGAGTATACCTCAGCTGGTTTTTTATACAGTCAATCACAAGGCTAGGTGCATTCCCGTCTTTCCATATCACCTAGGAACATCAGTGAAAGCATCAATTCAAATGCTGGAAATCTGCATTGGATTTGTAATACCCTTTCTTATTATGGGAGTGTGCTACTTTGTCACAGCAAGAACACTTATCAGGATGCCCAACATTAAAAAATCTCGTCCCCTCAAAGTTCTGCTCACAGTGGTTATAGTTTTTATTGTCACTCAGCTGCCTTATAACCTTGTCCGGTTCTGCCAAGTCATAGACATTATCTACTCTCTGATCACCGACTGCGACATGAGCAAACGCATGGATGTTGCCATCCAAATCACAGAGAGCATTGCACTCTTTCACAGCTGCCTCAACCCAATCCTGTATGTTTTCATGGGAGCCTCTTTCAAAAACTACATTATGAAAGTTGCTAAGAAATACGGGTCCTGGAGAAGACAAAGACAAAACGCGGAGGAGATTCCTTTCGATTCAGATGATCCTACAGAGCCAACCAGTACTTTCAGCATTTAAATGTAAGACTGCTGCCTCTTGCTTCGATACACATGAATGATGCTTCTCCCTCAGATAAAACATCTGCTTTATTCTGAAACTTAAATCTCAAATATCGTGGTGCCAACTTATAGCAATCAAGAGTTGGAGGGAAGTTGGGGAGAATATAGCAACCAGGAAGAGGAGGAAATGACATAATAAATGCAGAAAACATGAACTTAAAGTTAACAATATAGGAAAATAGTATTAACAGGTATAAATAATAAAAACACATGCTATGAATTAGGCCATATGAAACAGATTAATAAAAAGGCTTATATTAAGGGGCATTTCTAATTATTTTAAAAGATCTAAATTTTAATATAAGAATGATTTCACTGCATAATTTCAGTATTTGAATAACTATACAACAAAATTTAATCCTTTTTTCCTGTTTCTTAGTTTGTAAGTGATTTCCTAAGATCCCAGAAATAACAATGTAACAATAAAAATATTACATAAAAAGTTTTACTGGCCCTTTTAATACAAAAACTTTTTTTTTTTTCCTTTTAGCCCTGGTAAATTTCTGAACATGTGCTTCCATGATGTTAATTTTCTTCAATAATAAACTGGTTATCCCATTAGATTTACCTGTGTACTCTAGAAGCAATCTTTAGATAATCATATTTACCTAGATTCCAATTTTGCAAGTTCCTAAAGGGCTTATCCATTTATGTGAGTCTATTACTGAGGGTTGACTAAACAATACATTTTCTTACATACAGATTATTTTTTTGCTTAAGCACTTACATTTTTAAGCAATAAAAGTATGTGACACAATAGATGATTCTTAATAACATGTATATCTTATCTCTTTCAATACAATTATTTATAAATTATAGTTCATTTAATATGTCCCTACTGAGGGGTGCCTGGGTGGCTCAGTGGGTTAAGCCACTGAGCCCTTCGGGTTAGGTCATGATCTCAGGGTCCTGGGATCAAGCCCTGCATTGGGCTCTCTGCTTGGCAGGGAGCCTGCTTCCTCCTCCACCTCTGCCTGCCTCTCTGCCTACTTGAGATCTCTCTGTCAAATAAATAAATAAAATCTTTTAAAAAAATATGTCCCTACTGAAATTTAATTTTGAAAGAAATTACAGTGATCAATAGTGTACACTAATACGAATTTTCTCTCTCACAAACTATAAAAAACTGTGAACTGTAAAACTGTAGGGAAAAAAAAGACAAGTTTTCTGCTCTTAAAATAAATATCACCTACTCAAGATATCTTAAAATTATTTTTTGGGGGGCACCTATGTGGCACTGTTGGTTGAGCCTCTGGCTCTTAGTTTTGGCTCAGGTAGTGATCTTGGGGTCGTTAAGATCAATCCCCAGGTTGGGCTCTGCACTCAGCATGAAGTCTGCTTAGAGTTTCTCTCTCCCTCTCTCTGTGCCTCTGTCCTACCCCCCATCCCTGCACTCTCTCCCTCTTGCCAAAATAAGTATTTTTTTAAAATTACCTTTTTTTAAATCAAGTATTTCTAAATTTGAATATGCCTTCAAAGCCAGAATTTAAAGAACGGGGTGATCATGAAACTAATAATTATGTATCATATTATTCTAGCACAGCACCTGGGACAAAGGATGGATCCGAATACTCACCACTGCTCCACCATTTCTTGCCATTAATTACATAGCTATCTCCATCTCGTTGGATGCTACATTCAATATTTGTGGCATCACTCGAAGCTACACTGGGCTCTATAAATAAGCAAAGGTTGAATTTACAGGCAGGCAGACATCATCAGTTTACAAAAGAGATTTTAGATAAGGAAATGTGAACTCTTTGAGGATAGAGGCAGGTTCCTATCCTTCCCCCCCTTCCACTCTAGTTCTCCTATAACCTACATATAGTAAGTACTCAGTAAATGTGCACTGGAAGAATGAATGAATGAATTTTGAACACTGGCGATCAGCAATCTGAATTGTGTTCTTGGCTTCCTCACTGATGCATGATTCAAGATAACTCAATCCTTTCTCCAATTATCAAAAGTAGATTAAGTATACTGTTGTTTATTGTCCACAATAGAAATCTACTAAATACTAAATATTTGCAAGCCAGATTTCCCCACCATGTAGTTTACTATCTCAGACAATTTCCAACCCTGCCTTGCAAATCCCATCAGGAATGTTTTCACTGACTTATTTTGCATTCTGTAAAGACTGATCAACACAATTTCTTCAAAAAGTTTTCCATGGGACACCCTTACACAACTGCTTTACTGTATGGCATTTCAGAACGTGCGGGTTAGCTCTCATTTGTAGTCGTCTGCACTTGCTAATATACTGCTCTTTTAAATTGGTCCTTCAGATATTTTGTGCATTCTATTTCTGAAACTAGAGACCCATGGGGTTCCTTTAGAAAGGGAGCTGTGTACTTATTTTGTAACCTCCAATTAGTGGTTTGAAGATAACATGTCACTGCAGATGTTCAATAAATGCCTCTCACCGATTTTAAATGGAGATCAGTTTTCCTATTACAAATACATACAATGTTATAGAAGACTTTTAAGTCTGGCTAAAATTATGGCCAGATGACATTTAGTTTAATTCCAAGCTCAACTATATAATGATGACTTTTTCCTTTGAAAAATTCTTTCTGTTTCCTATGTACAAATGGTACCAAACCCATTTTTAACATGCTCCTAATTTTACTTCCCCACATGATCATAATTTGAACTATGTGATCAGCCCTGGTGAATGGTCTATTTTTCTAGGTTCATGGCAAAGTATTTAGTAACTATCAGTAAAAATTATTACAAAGACAAATATTTCATACATAAGGGCAAAAAAGATACTAAATATACATACACGGCAATTTTAGAAATGCAAGTCAAAAGATTATGAAATTAGGTTTACTCTGCTGCTTAAATGCTTAAAGTAGACTATCAGAAAACATCACTGGGTATCCTCCCAAAGGGGAGGACAATTTGATTCTGCACATTTAAAAATGCCAAAATTTGAAACAGGGCTCAAAACAAGCACATGCTCGTCTCTGTCCATGGGGAAATTTGCCTAAAACACAGAGCCACTCTTTCATTTTAGCTTATCCATAATAACTCCAGGATGATTGACTGCACAAGGGGAGAACCATGATTTGCTTTTACCTGACATACAGAAGCAAGAGGCAATGTTCCCTTGAAGAAGAGGCTCAAGCCACTGCTGCTTCTGCTCTTTACTTCCATATAGGTGGAGGACCTCCATGTTCCCTGTGTCTATATGTAATAAAAAAAACAAAACATTTCTTTGGCGTTTAAAAATTTACCAATATGGAATCCAAACTTTATGTTGGAATTATATACATGTATCTTTTTTTAAATATAATTTTATTGGCTTTAATTGCATTGTCATGTTTTCCCAAGTTGTTTTCTTTCTTTTTTTTTTTTTTAAGATTTTATTTATTTATTTGACAGAGATCACAAGTAGGCAGAGAGGCAGGCAGAGAGAGAGGGAGAAGCAGACTCCCTGCTGAGCAGAGATCCTGATGCAGGACTCGATCCCAGGATGCTGGGATCATGACCTGGGCCAAAGGCAGAGGCTTTAACCCACTGAGCCAGCCAGGTGCCCCTACATGTATCTTTTTAAAGTAAACATTTGCTTACAAAAATATTTTGAAAAATAATAGTAAATATAATTTATAATGAAGGTATGCCATAAATAATTATTATAAATATATGGCATTTGGTGCATATTTATTCAATTTGTGTTGAATTACGACACTTGTCCGCTTCATCTCAATAAAACATGGCTTTAATGAGGTCTGACTCATTTAGGACTAAGGAAAACAATTCACTGTCTTAATCTTTCCCTGCTTTCTTGCAAATATGCTTTGCTAGGAATGACTGCAATGCTCCTGGAGAACAATTATCATTCCACGCTCTACTGAGACTCCATTGCTGAGACTCCTGTTCCTCGAACATACGATGTGCTCTCTAACTTTCACCTGTTTGCCTGTGCCAAACCTTCTCTCAGGTCCAATTCTACCCATCATTCCTAAGTAAATTCCTGCTTTTGAGCCATTTCCACCATGAAGAATCTCTGATTACACAGTCAGAAATATCTCCTTCCTCTGAACTCACAAAGTAATTATTGTCTCTTTACCTCTACCATTGTTCTTACTATTGTGCACCCCCTCCCATCTATGAAAGCACTAGGTGGTATCTCAAAAATGATAAACACAGAATCCCCGATAGAAAATGACAGCAGATAACTTCAAAGACCCTTTCCAACCCTCAGAGGGCATTGTTCAGTAACTGAAACACTACTATCACTCTCATATAAAAAAGAATGCTTTATACCTGCCATGGAGCAAAACACTCTAGGGGCTTTTCTCCGATATTTGTTCCTATCAAACTTCTAAAAAAATACTATTTAAAACATTTCCCTTGAAAACTGATTACTCACAAGATTTATTTATTTTTTAAAGAACTTATTTATTATTTATCAGAGAGAGAGAGAGAGAGAGCGAGAGAGAGCAAGTGCACAAGCAGGGAGAGCAGCAGCAGGCAGAGCAGCAGCAGGCAGAGGGACTCCTTGCTGAGCAAGGAGTCCAATGCAGGATTTGATCCCAGGCCTCTGGGATCATGACCTGAGCTGAAGGCAGATGCTCAACCAACTGAGCCACCCAGGCATCCCACTCATAAGATTTTTCGAAAATGATTTATTTATTTTATTTTAGAGAGAGGGTGAGAGACTGTGTGGTGGGGGGACAGAGGGAAAGGGAGAGAGAGAATCTCAAGCAGACTCCTCGCTGAGCAGGGAACCTAACACAGGGCTTGATCCCACAACCCTGAGATCATGACCTCAGCTGGAATCAAGACTCAGACACTTAACAGAATGAACCACCTGGGTGCCCCAATTATTCATAAGATTTTCAAGAAGTTTTCAATATCACCTTTAAACATGACTTGAAGGACAGTCACTGAAATGCCTATGAAAATGGAGTTAAATCCAAGTTAAGTCTCTCAAAATGTGTTTGCAGTCTGTCCAGACACTACCAACAGAGCCAAAGTTATATTAAAATGCACAAAATTCCTAATAGATTAACATCAGTTTAAAATTCTTTTTGGCTGAGAGAAAAAATGACTCTTGAGTTATAATTAATGAAGCTCACTATTTTCTTCGCTTATTTTAAATTCACTGTTTCTTCTTATAGTTCAAATGAGGTAAATATTGACTAAGATCTTTCAAAAATTGTCAGTTTGTTCTGAGAAGCTGGCAAAACGAAGCTATCATTTAGGGGTTGGGAAAAAGCCTGGATAAATTAGTTCTACAAAAAAATTACCCTCTCCCAAATCAGCCCATAGGCCCTCCAAATTTTCTAGTACAGCTATAAAATTAAAATTGCTATTTTCAACATTCTAATATACAATATTGTATACTTTGTGAAGGGCAAAAAAAAAAAAAAAAAAAAGACAAATTGGAAGACTACATATGTTTTCCCTAAGCTTTTAGAACTATTTGGAAAG